CCACCTTGCAGCCCCACATTAACAAAATATATTTTAAAACTCTTTTGAATTTGCATTTTGGCTTTTCTAATGTGATGTGAGACGGTGACTCTTTGTTCAAACAGTTTCAAAGGGAGGAAGTCACATGTATTCACATAAATACGCAGCTGGACCGGCTGTCAAAACAGAGAACAGAGAAGCCGGGATTACAACACAAACAGAGGAGGTGTGACTTCAGTCCACGTCAACGTCACCATAACTTCACCATATCTTTTAATACCAGACAGTTGTTTGCTGCTTTATTAAAGCTATATTAAGGTTAAAACCGTGCATATTTCATCTTTAATAAACTGTAGCTCAAGTAGTGAAACCCAACTAGAAAGAAATTCTAATTTAAGCTCCATTTGTCTTCAATGCAGCCGACCGGAGAGAAGGCAGAACTCACTTGTTCACAACACAGACACACGGTCGTAGCATATGTTGATCTGTACACTGAACATTTGTAGGTCTATAGATGGTCTACACACAAAAAACAACACTGAAGGTGTGGCACTGCTGGTTGAGGAAGTGAAGTAAATTTTGTGCTCATAAAAGAAGTGGAAACGGATCTACAACACATTCCTTGGCTTCCTGGTGATCTCTATCATGATTTCCTGAGGGTCCTCCCATGCGTGGCTGCTACGTAGGAGCCCCACTACATGTCTTTTATTTAATCTTCACCAGTTCGTACACAACCAACTGTATTATTTTTACATTCCCATTTCTTCTAACCCCCATACCTACAGTATGTCAGTATACGGTATATACAGGATGCCTCCAGACAAAGCAGACGAAGGCCAAAAAACGTTTTACACTCAAGAGGTGTGAGTGGTTGGAAAACAATAGAAACACATCAAGGTGTCCTTCAGAGTCTGACTTCCACGAGCTTTATATCCGGTCAGGAAATTGAGGGATAATCTAAGTCTGTGATTACTAAACCACATGTAGCGCCCTCGCTCCATAGCACTGCTGCTCATTGAAGCTGCACTGCCCAGTTTCAAGTTGCTTTTATCTCGGTCAAACAAACATAAGGAAATAGCATTGCTCTTCATGTCTCTGCATTATTTTAGCTGCCCTGTGTCCTATATTAGAACCAATTCACTTATTTTTGCTAAGTTCAAATAGCTTTAAAGGTCCCATTTAACTCATTTAACTTTCATTAACTTGCTCAAAGGGGGGGCAAGGGTGGGACTTCTAACACCTAAAGAGCCCCAGACACTTCAATTTCTAAAGGTTGAATCACTCCCATCTTGAAAAAGGCAACTCGTGTTTATTTGAAGAGTGCGATAGACTTAGACTTTGACTGTCTGAATCTAATGGAAAATGCTCCACAATGAGGCTTTTAGCATCACCAACAGAAACACATTACTGGTAGAGATGCTGAACTTTCAACAAGCACTTTGTGTCCTCACAGTTCAGACATGGTGCGACTTTCTCCTCATCGTTTTGACACGTGTATCGCATCAAGCAAACTCAGTCTGGAAGCGTTTCCATCAGATGAGTAGATTGTCACAAAGTGTTGCAGTAAAATTTGACTAAAACACAAATTTTAGTCGTGAATTTATTTTTATTTAGAATTTTACAAAAACAAGAAAAACTTCACAACTGAAATAAGAAAATCCATGAAAAAAAATGTACAAACAACCAGATAACGTGTTTTTTTAAATGACTGGATTCAGGCATCACAACAGCCAGATTGTTGCTACAACTTTTTAGTCATCTCGTAAGACTTAAACTGCAGAAATGTTGTTATATTATCCAACGTGACACCAGGTAAATGCAGATCACGTGAGGCTGATGGTTGATTTCATGGTATACAGTTGTTCCAGTGTCGTTCGTTTGGTAACACCTGACAGAGCCGCAGGCAGCAGCTGACGGTGGGCTCGTAAAACACTGTGTCTGGCTCCTCAGTCTTCACTTTTGGTTCGCTTCTCGTCTGGCGTGCAGGGCGGCTGAACAGTGAGGGTTTAGGACTTTTAACCAGAGTTTTCTTTGTGACACAGCCCAGGTCTATAAGTGCCTGTAGAAGAGACAAGGAGGATACCACATCAGAAACAAAGACATCATTTCTAAAAGGCTACCATTATGTTAGATAGTAAAACAGAATTATTTCAAGGGTAAGTATGGATTACATAGATCATTTTTATAAACCTTGTTAACCTTAACAATGTGTCAAGCTACTTAAAAAAATAAATAAATGTCATCTTCTCCTTTCTCACATTTGCAATTTTTCTTTTCAAATTCAATCTTCTGGTTAAAATGACCATGAGACTTGTGAAAGGAGCCCACGTGATTATCCCCCACAATAGATGTATGGACAACATTTAGCAACTTTCAGCTCATTGTTTTGGTTTTTCCTGGCCGCATCTCCACTCTTTTAGTTCAGTTTCACAGCTCTCATCATGTGACGACACAGAAAGTTCTGATGAGTTCTGATGAGTCCCTGAGACCAGGGAGGCCCATTGGGATTACAAATCTGTTTTACAAGGGAGACCTGGACAAGGTAGCAGTCATGGAAAGTCAAAAAGCTAATACAAAACAGACACAAATAAACAACGAGCAGTAAAACAATAAGCACACATAGGCAGTGTTAAAAATGTACTTAGACACACAGAGAATACAAACCAGGTAAAGGCAGGGGAGTAAAAAAACGAAACCCTACCGATAACTGTCAGCTGATACCATGTGAAAGTATTTCTGTTTACCTGCATGAGGTCCAGCACTGCCATTGGCTGCAGCAAATCTTTGTAATGTTCCACCAGTGTCTTCTGCGTGATTCCGGGCCGAGACATGACGTGATAAAGAATGGCCTCCAGCATGCCCTTACAAACGGGTCGGTTCAGCTTACCATCAACCATGCGCCACGGCCGGCCGACGAAGCTCACGTTTGCACTGTGTGGAACGGAGGTAGGCGACGGAAACAGAAAGAAGAGATGACAAATAGAAAAAGGAGAAGTAACGATTAACTGCGTTAGAAACAGTCTGTACTTACTCGTCATGAGCCGATCCTGCAGCTGAAGCCTCGTCTTCTTTTTCATCATCTACGCTGTGCTCTCTGACCCTCAGCTCCTCTGTGTCATCCTGTCTTTTCTCAGTTTCCACCTTCTCCTTTCCTTCATCTTCAGCCCGTGTCTGTTCTCTTCCTTCCTCTTCCAGGTTCAGCTGTTTGGCTCCACTTCCCTCATCTACTGTGTTTTTCTGCCGTTCCAGCTGTTCTTCCTCACATACTTTCTCTCTTGTTGGTAATACATCCACCTCCTCTATGCCACTGCCCTTGTCTCCGTCCACAGTCAGTCTTTTTGCTGGTGGTTCCTCTTTATCCTGATGGATTTCTCCGCTGCATCTCTTGCGTACAAAGCTTCTGCGGTACGGATTCTGCAGTGAGGGGAATTTGTCAGACGTGTTGTGAGACCGGGACCATTGCTTGTTGTTTACAGTCAGCAGCCACGGTTCAGCGTGTTGCGTTAGCACCCAACGGACACCCAGGCTGCCAACTCTCACTGCCTGACCTTCTTCCTGTAACTCCTGGAATAAAAAAGCAGGGTGCATGATATCAGGCAGGCATACCAGAGAAATCAAAAACCAGGATACCAAATTGTGGTCTGCAAGGATTTGGATTTCTTCACGTTGAAGTGCTGCACAGGGGGCTGCATTAAGGGTGATGCTCGCCATTGGAAGAGTTTGAAGGGTGGTATCTTTATTCAATCTTTCTAAAACCATAAGGAGGAGTGAAAGTTTAAGGAATGCACTAAACTATGTATTGTTCTGCACTACATTCCTTCCTCTGACAAACTAGCTTACTACCTATTGTAGCAAGTGAGTGCTACTTTCCAAAGGCAAGGAGCTTATCATTAACTAACTCCATCATTTATGTGAGTGTACAGACTCCCATTAGGGACGGACTATTCACGAGATAGGAGCAAATATCCAACAGCATAAGAGTTTAGGCTAACTTGCTGCTCACTAGCTCTCCTGTGCCGCTCCTTTATTTCCATGTCTTGTACACAATCAGAATTATTCCAGTGCAACATTAGTACTTGTGGGGCTGCAAGGTGGCTCAGTGGTTAGCACCGTTGCCTCGCAGCAAGAAGGTCGCCGGTTTGCGTCCCGGTGAGGACACCCGGGATCTTTCTGCGTGGAGTCTGCATGTTGTCCCCGTGCAGCGCGGGTTCTCTCTGGCTTCCCCCACACAGTCCAAAAACATGATAAAGTTAATTGGTGATTCTAAATTGTCAGTAGACTCCAGCCCCCCCATGACCCTAGTGAGGATTAAGCGGTGTATAGATAATGGATGGATGGATGAATAAACACTTGTCTTGTCGTCTTTGTAGTATGTTGCTGCATATTTAGGACCCTTTAACAGAACCATTTTGAAATGAGTCAGACGAAGTCAGTCGGAGAGCTTTCAGTCAGTCATCAGTTTGCTAAAACCTGCTATTTAGCCAACACACTTTTACTGTCATCAGCTAAAAATTAGAAGTTGCTCTTGTTTATGTCTTCGTAAACCAAAGGTCCATAGTTGTATACAAATTAATATGTGTATTATATTGTAAATCTTCTGCTGTTATCATCATTAGAAAGGCTTCAAGAGGCTTGCAGACAGAATGTGACACTGGTGCTCCTGCGCTCTGAAACTTCTTGTTTCCAACGGAGCAAAGTGCTTGTGCAGCGTAGTACACACAATGTACAAAACATGTTGCATATACAGCATTTATGTCACACACGATTTACAGTTGCTGCACACACATCCAGATTTTCTCATTTATTCACCAAGATTGTGTTCTTTGCAATTTCAAGCACCTTGCGTGTAATGGGAACTTTCCCACCTGAGCCAAGAGGAACATTTTCTCTCTCTTTTTCTTTTTTTTGCAAATGATTGTTGTGCATATTATTCTTATGCACATATTGCTTGACTGATGTAACAACGGTAACAAGTCAGGTGAGGGAGAGCAGAGAAAAGAAAAAACAACATTAAAGCAGTCTTGTTTACAAGCTGTGCATGTGTTTACCTGCAAATACTGCGGCAGGCTCCTGGTGCGTCCAGACTGTGGCTCCTGCAGGTCGATATGAGCCTCATGGAGGTCATGTACGTCCAAACCACTCTCACCAGCTTCATGCAAGCTTCTCCTGATCTGATGACATGCTTCAATGTCCTGAGGAGTGTACCCTCTATGCTGAATAAAGCGCCTGTTACACTCCTCTACACTGGGCAGAGAAGAGGAAGGTGAATGGACGGAGTAGGTGAGGATGGAGGGCAGCAGGGATGGACCACATTTAGTCAAGTCCAGGGGTGGAGAGTCTAAAAATGCAAAAACAAAAAAAAACAAAAACAAAAAAACAAAGGAAATGAAATTAAAAATTATGTTTTTGCAGAAATAACTGTTTGTAGAAGTCTGGAATTCATTCGTACTCACCCTCCATAAGTAGCATGTGGTGTGCAGGGGTGTTGCGCAGCAGCAGCCTTATTATACACGACTCCACCACGATGTTATCGTTGGTGTTAAGGTTACGTACTTTGACTGGGGGGAAAAAAACAACAAAAAAACAAGGAAACAAAATAAATCAATTTACAAATCTCTACAAAAAAAGGACTGCAGCTAACAATTGTTTTCATTATCATTTAACTTAAACAATCTAATAATCAGAGCTGCTGTCTCCAGGTTGACTCATTGATTAACTGGTCGACATGCTCTCATCTGATTAAATCCTCATGTTTGAACCATTGTGTATGCTACTTTCAGGAAAGGAAAGGGGAAAAAGTGAAACAACAACACCTTTCAAGGACTACTCTATTATTTTTGGCAGCAGAAGGAACAGACTCCCTGACAACATTCTGTGTGAACTGGCCCAACCTAAGGGAAAGTGCCAATTCTAACTTAATGTTTGCACGCTCACTTAGAAGTCAGCCACCGTGACACCAAGTCAAAGAAATCGGCAGTGCAGCTGCATTTTGCTAAACCTGACGGCCAAAAAGTCGAGAGTAAAATTTGCAGCACTTTGCGTATCACGGCTCAACAGTCAACAAGACGGATTACATAGGCAGAAAACATGAACCTATCAAAGAAGAGTGAACTACAAGTTTACCTATGCCAGGAGAGCAGTATCCTCGCATTATCAAGTAGTTAGTGTGTGATGCCTGATGGGCTTTCACTTGCAGCTTTTTGCCCCCCTCACAGTCCTCGCCGTCGTCATCCTCATCATCTTCTTCTTCGAGTGCTGCCATACTGGAAAGAAAAGATTTTGACTTCTTTATTTTGACATTGTGGTATCAGCATGTGGTCTTAGGTGGAGATATTTGTGTTTTTTTGTTTTTTTTTAATTAGCTTGTATATAAAAGTTTCATATTAGCTAATGCATTAAGGCCGTTGAATTTAGGGACAAAAACAATTAAGGATCTTCAGTGCCTGTTAAAAGCACCTTTTACCTTAAATCTGTGGTCACTGCTGTAATTCGTTTATTGATATAGTATTCTAACTGTATCGTAACTGCCTGCTATTCCTTTGTTTTAAAGCTCAAACAGCTGCATTACATGTGTGGACAGTGAGATGTACTTTGTGACTACTACACAGAGCCTGGGACTCTGTGGAAGTTTTGTCTTGCAGAAATTGTTATATGTAAGTTATTATGCTTCCAGTTTGTTGTTCTTCCACTATCGAACACAAGGCGGAGTCAGGTCCACAGCGCATGAATGCTAGCTCACCTCTTAACCACCACGTTGTCCACCAGGCTGCTGTCCACCACCACCATCTGTTTCGGGATGGACAGGTGCACGCTGAGCAGGCCCAGCGACATCAGGCTGATACAGACCACACAGGCGCCACCCGGAGAGAACAGAGAGAACTGCAGCATGCCCGACACATCCAAAGGATCCTCTGAAGCTGGAGCTGCTGCGCTGGAGGTGGCTGGGATTCCTGGTGGGGCTTCCACAGGCAGGTGATCATCTGTCTGCTCTACAGCTTCACCAGAGCCAGACGTCACGCAGTCTTCAGGGTTTGTCTGTTTGTCTGATTTGCTCATCACCTCAGTTTTCTCACTTTTTACGTCTGACTCCAATAAAGTCTTTTCTCCTTCCGCTGTATTTCGGTTGTTTTCTCCCTCCTTTGCAGAGTCACTTGTTGCCTCCTCTGGTCGTACTTCTACTTCGCTCACTGAGCTGTCACCCTCTTTTCCTTCACTTTGGTTTTCGTTTCTTGTCGCTCCTGTTGTACTCTCCAGCATTTCATCCCCCGTCTGGGACCTGTTTTCAGTTTCGTGGTAGAAATCAATGACCGGCCTGTCCTCTCCCGCCCCGTTGTTAATTAGACTTCTTAAGAAGCAGAAGGCATCGGTGCACAGCGACTGAGGAAAACGCCACGAAAAACACCTGCCAGGAAGCAGTTGGAAACACGTGTTCAAAGGTTTTGCCATTTGCCATTAAACAGCGATTACTGCTAACAATTCATATGAGGTGTGTCAGAAAAGTTCCAGGACTGGTGTCACAAAAAATATATTTCAAACCCAAAATACAAACTATGAGTTTTCCCCTTCAGATGATCAACCAGCACGTCTACAAAGAGATCCTGTGGCTTTTGCTTCGTTCAATGCACCAGAAGAGGTGAGAGTTGTGGCAGGACAAGTCGAGGCTGCTTCACCATGACAACCCTCACAATGCCCTGAGCATGCGACAGTTCCTGGCTGAGAAGAACATCGCCGTGCTGGAGCAACCGCCCTACTCACCCCACCTGGTTCCCTGGGATTTTTTTCCTTTTCCCCAACTCAAGGGGGTCATCAAGGGGACCCGTTTAGAAGACGTGGACGACATCAAGATGGCTGTAACGACGGAGCTGTGGAGGATCCTGGACGAATCCTTCCAGGAGTGCATGGCGACGTGGCAGAGAAGGCTGGGAAAGTGTGTTAGACTCCAGGGGGATTACTATGAAGGAGAAAACTTGTAGTTTGGATTTTAAATATATCTTTTGTGACACCAGTCCTGGAACTTTTCTGACACACCTCGTATTTCTGTTCCTGTCACTCTCTAACATGTTTTTTTTAAATGCATCAAATACACTGAGGTGACAAAGGAAGAAAGGGAGTCCATTTACAAATGAACAAAGATCTGCTTAAGGTTTTCAGTTGTCTAGGGTGATATAACTTATACAGCACAGTTTAAGATGGTGAAATTAAAAAAAAAATCAAAAAATACAACCTTCTTCTACACAAACAGTAGTTATTAGTAACTGACTGTGGAGTATTTGATCAATCACTAAAAGCTTCAGGAACTCTGGTACAACATATCAAAAGGAAACAGATGTGCCCTGACAATAAAATCAAATAAATAATAAGTGATGCAAGTGATCTGCAGTATGTTTCCTCAGGTGGTTTTGTACCTGTAGTAGGACTGGGACAGCTGGTAGGACATGGGAAGGATGGGCAACGCTCGGTTCTTCTTCGGTCCAAATGGCTGATTGACGCGACGGCGGTTGACCAGGCCTCTCTTCCTGCACTCTATGAACACTTTGCACAGCAGCTCCTGGTCATACTTACTGTACATGCGAAAGGCCTGAGAGAGAAGACAAAGAGTCAGATATGTGTGTGTGTTTTTCTCTCCAAGTGACAAACTGAGCAAAGAGACTATAAACGAGGTCACACTGACAACTTTAAAAAGCAGATTAAGACTTTCCTGTGACAGTCCACGTAAAGGAAATTCACAGATTTGTTTCTAAACACATTGTATACGTCAAAAAATAATGACTGAAAACGTGTTAAAAGACTGTTAATGATGTAGATATGTAGTCCTGCTCAATCAGGAGTTAGCACACCTACAGTCTGTGGTTTGCTAACTACCTATACATTCATCCCTCAAACTCAAACTGGAGAACAGCTCTGTGTCCTGATTTGAATTTCATCAGTAGGATAAGATAGAAAGGAGGCAGATTTATATTGTGAAGAGTCACAGATGGAGAGCTGAGGATCACCACCAACACCCGCCTCTGCAGTGACCGTTATACACTGGGTAGTTTTACAAACTTTAATCAGAGACAACTGGGATTTACAGATAACTTGTTGCTGGTGAACCGAATATCTCCCTCTCCGGCTGTAATCTTTCCGTCCTACTGACATCGCTGGCAGCACATGTCCACCAATGAGCAGAAGTTGTCCTGTGTGCTTCATGTATTATAGGTTGTAACTTATTTCACAGCAGGAAAGTGATGAAAATATTCTATATGTACAGTGAGCAATTTGATTTTGCTTTGTTTGGTTAAAAAGAACCAGGTCCATCTGCACAGGTAGTACGGTTAACTGGGACTGATGTGAAAGTGGACACCTTCAGTGGACATGCCCCCAGTGTTTCAGAACAGAGAACTCCTTGGTATTGCTTATTTTGATAATTTAGAATGAAAGAATTTTTAATAATTATTCAGAGTTGGTTGGCTGGAGGGCTGCGAGGTGGCTCGGTGGTTAGCACCGTTGCCTCACACCAAGAAGGTCGCCGGTTCGCGTCCCGGTGAGGACATCTTTCTGCGTGGAGTTTGCATGTTGTCTCCGTGCAGCGTGGATTCTCTCAGGGTTCTCCTCCCACAGTCCAAAAACATGTTGAGGTTAATTGGTGATTCTAAATTGTCCATAGGTGTGAATGTGAGTGTGCTTGGTTGTCTGTCTCTAAGTGTAGCCCTGTGATAGACTGGTGACCTGTCCAGGGTGGCCCCTGCCTTCACCCTAAGTCAGCTGGGATAGACTCCAGCCCCCCATGACCCTAGTGAGGTGTATAGATGATGGATGGATGGTTGGGTGGAACATAACACAAGTTTCTGTCGAGCAACAAACTCAGAACATGCTGATTACTGCCTTACACGGACACAGAGACGCCTAATTTTTCATTTATTTATGCTTTTGTCTCTTCTTAGGGCTGCATTTTGCTCATTATTTTTTCAACGTGAAGCACTTGGTTAGATTCTGCTCTTGAAAGATAAACAGACCTAAAGTGAGACTTTGTGAAGGAAAGTAAACTTATGACACTGTACCTGAAATGATCTGGAGGATTTCATCTGGCTGTTGGTCATGGCCAGAGTGCTCTGGATCAGGTTATGCAACACTATGACATGAATGTCTTCTGTACTGCAGTGGAGACGCACATAAACAAACATTAACTGATGTTGTTAAAAAAAACAAAAAAAAACCAACAACATATACAGTGAAGAAAAATCAAAAAATCTAACTTAATCCTTACCTGCTGAGGGTGTCTCTGCCTGCGACCTTTTTCCGATCATCTATTGCAGAAACCTTAAACCTATAAAACACACAAAAACATCACTTTACACTCTGCTCGTCCTCAGTCAGCGTACCAAAGCTTGTCTTCTTCTTACCGTGAGAAGAGCTGCTGTTTCGTGTCAGGCATGATCAGATCATCAGCGTTCAGGACACAGCTGAACTTCTGTCTGAGCAGTCTGATGTACTCAGAGAACGCTTTGGCACAATCCTAAAACCCCCACAGACACAAAGATTCAACGCTCAAGTCAAAGAGTCAACTTTGAACAAAGAAGAGGACGGTAACAACTGAAACACACCTCTGGACTGTCAGGATCGGTAGGTTTGTTCTCTTCCAACAGTCTCATCAAGGTTTTGTCCTGGAACACCTCAGCCAGACAGATCCTGCAACAAATATTTAATGAGTGTAACTGCACGAGTCACTGTGTTGAAAAACGTGTTGTCTGTACCTACCTGTAGTTCAGAAGTGCCTGAGGATTTTTGAGGATGTATCTGGAGCGACGTCCAACAGCAAGTGAAGTTTTATCCATCGATATCTCAAACTCTGCGTGGAGCAGGTCTCTTACCACGCAGTGAGGCACGAACGGCCTTTTTAACTGCAACACATCAAATATTTCACTGTATGTTTCCATTCAAACAAGCATGAACAAGCGTGAATAAAATGCAAGAGGCAAAAGGGTAAATTGTTCAAAGCCTCCCACCATTTATTAACACTGTTTTGCCTTTATTACAGAGCACAGAGCAGACTGTAACTGAGGTTCATGTTTGGACTCAAATTGAGGATACTGTGATTTTCTGGCCACCAGACTCCCTGACAGATTTCTAGGGAATTCTCTAGACATCATCTATGTTATTTATAGAAAAACGTCATTCACGTGTTGTAAAGACTCCCTCTGTAGACATTTTACACATTGTGCAAAGCCAAAAACTGACAAAACAGGTTAATTATCACAAAGCTCTGACAATATATTCACAACATGAATCACAATACAGCTGCCTCACAGATACTTTACTCTGTCCACATTTCTCCAAATATGAAGCATTAACTGCTACAGATTTTAAAAGTTTTCCTGCTTCTTAAACTGTAATGCCATTTGGCAGCAGCAGAATCAAGCTGTAAACACAACATTGACAAATTCTCACCCTTCAAGTTGATGTGTGAACTTGACTGTGCTAACGGGTAGAGAAGAGGCCACGTGGCTCAGTCAATGTGTCAGATCTGTTTAGCAACACCACCTGGATGCTGAACTGGATCCACGTTTCTTCATATGCGTTTGCAATTTGTCAATATTTTTTCAGGACAGGGAAAAAAGTATGTGTCTGAAATGTGCTTGGGGTTAGGAAAAAGAATAAAGAGCAGTAAAAGAAAGCGATTCCCAACTTTTTTTGTCTGATGGATCCATGTAGGGCAGTCCAGTGAAGTCCAGGTGCCACTTCACCAACACCAGCAAACATGTTCCAAATGTGACTTTATTAGATTGTGTAAATATGGTTACAATTCTTTTTCATTCTATTAAACAGTCAGTGCTTATTCAGTTCTGTATTAATGCTGCCATTTGGAGGCACAACCTGGACATTTCTGTCATTTATCCATAACATTTAATTAAATAAAATATGTCATTTAGTAAAATAATTAGCATTAAGAAAATCGAGCAAAAAACCCCACAATATTTTCTTTGTAATACATGTAAATATCTTTACACCTTTCAGATTCTTCTTGGGACTCATTGGTGAATCCCCACTAACTCAATTGCATTTGATGATTAATACGACTCATTTGACCTCAAAAATTATTGTGTGAAAAATTGGGAAAAACTGTGTTAGAAACACTTCTTGGTGTATTTGTGTGTGTGTACCTTGCTGTTGAACAAGTGTGAGACCACACTGCAGAGTATCATCAGAGAGTCTTCCTGAACAGACCAGTAGACTCTCTGTCTGGTCATCATTTTCAAAGCCTTGTGGTCCGCCTCGTCGTGGGCCGGAGTGCGTTTCTTGGGCTCTTCCAGGTAAACAACAAACACACACAATCTGTCAGTTTCCCATCAGACACATGCATTCTTTTTTAATGTTTACCTGCACTCACTCTACCTTTCCTTTTCTTTCGCGGGGCCTTGGCAACATCCTTTTTGCCTCTCTTTCTTTTCTGGCCCTTTCCTCCGACCACCTGTTGGTTTCTAGAAGCAGGTTCTACGGCCACCTGGTTACAAAGACACAAGAACAGACAACACAGTTTGTAGACAGTACTCTCTGTGTGCATAACTCTCCACCACTGACACTATGGTGAGATGAAGCACACAACAAATGTATTACATTGAAGGCATAGAGCTGTGCTCGTTACACAGTGGTGCTGATCAAAACAGACAAACGTGAAATTGGACATAAACACATAGAGACTTGAAATGAGCTGGGACTCATGTCTGTCTTTTAATTGTTAATGAAGTCTTTCAATACTCTGGTATAACAAGCTGCAATAATATTGTCACTGTCATCTGTATTAGGTTAATATACAAACAGAAAACACACTTGTTGGAGCTAAACAAGACACACCTGAGTTTCATGAGTCTATTGGTCACACACAGGTTGAACTAATAACAATGAATGAAGCTTAATCCAACAGTCCTGCAATAGGTTCATCCTCCATGAAGGTTAAAATCTGTTGTGTTGAAACGGTTGACTGAACTGTATTATCTGTTTGGAGGATGCGGTTTTTAGTGCTGTTGGCCTGTACTGCAAAATACAGGGCGCTGTTTTTACTCTTTTGTCCAACCCATTTATATCAATTGGGATTAAATATGTAACAGAAACACCCATTTGTGCAGAACCGTTCAACAGCTCCTCAAATTATATCTGCCGTAATCATTGGACTGTTGAGTCAACGTCTCAAAAACTGTTTCCACAAAGACTGAACATCATGAGCTTTGAGAAAGGAAGATCTATTTGAGGACCATTAAATTAGACCCCTGAAGTCATATTTACTTGTACCTAATTAACTGGCAAACTAATCTATATATGTAGGTACTATAAAATGATGACAAAATAAAACTGACATCACTCTTACCTCAACATTTTCTACCACCAGTGGTCGCTTGGCAGTCACGTAACGAGGTGTAGTGCTTCCTCCTGTTGTTACAGGGATTAGCAAATTGTTAAATTAATGTCAAACTGTCATGACTGGTTGAACAAAGCAGTTTAAAGAAAAAAAACTAAAAGAAAAATATTATGTTGCAGAAAACTCACCAGCTTTAAGGGCAATCCGGAGAACATTTTTACTCAGGAGGCTCTTCAGTCTGTTTTTGGTCTCCTGTGCCTCTGAGCCAGTTGGGCTCTAAAAAAATCAACAAAAAACAGATAAATGTGTTAAAAAATGACCACATTTCATAATGTCTCTACATGTTAGGTTTGTGTTTTGTGTACGTACTGATTTAACAGAAAGCAGGTGATTAGTCCACAACCAGTTGCGTTTAAGATGAGCAAAGAATTCAGAGTCCAGACCTCCTGCTCCTTTACCATCTCCCGGCATCGAACCGTCATCACAGGCTTCACGATTGCCCCTGTGAGAGTTTACAAAGATACATGTTCATCAGTATGACTTATAAAACTGGTGATGAGCTGAATCCGTACCACTCAAATCATACTTTTGTCAAAGCTTAAATGTCAGCTCCTTCATGATCAAAAAGAAAAAAAAACAAAACAGGAGAATGGGTTCAAAGTTTTTATGATCACAGATGAATCTCTATCTGATAGCAAGTTCACAGCTCCAGCTACAACCGTACATAGGCACATCGATGGATTTTATAAGTTATTGACACTTTATTGAACAAAAGCATAGTTTTCAAACACTGATAAAAGGGAAAGCGCTGGCACTTGAATGGGCCATTATGTGAGTGCTTCACTTGATTTCTTCAGCTTCAAACTCCACCTACTTGAGCAAGTAAGCCATTCCTACGAACACGTTGCGATCATGCACGAAGGGAGGAGCAGATTCTTCATCTGTGACATTTCTCTTGCCACGGATTACCCCTAGAAAATGCGAACAAAGATTCAAATCAAATTAAATAATTAGCACGGTTGGCAGTGCTGTGAGCGTGCTTTTGTGGTTGTGTTTGCACGTACCCAGTGGTGTATTGAGGCAGACACACATCAGGTCAAACCAGTAGCTTTCCACGTCCTCAGCAGTGTTCAGTATGTACTTGCGCCTCTCGAACGGTTTGTCGAGTGACTCTGTGACCAGCCAGTAGTGAGGCTCAGCGTTGGTGGTGTCAATAATAGTGGTGTTACGTCTCAGATACACAAACACCTGGATGGGTGTGTGGAGAAACGAAATGAAACAAGAACACACCAAAAAATTACACTTGACAATGACACTCATTTATGGATAAAACACATCATGTAAATGCTCTGTTTAACTCATTAGTAGCTACATTTACAGCTACGAGCAGGTCCTTTGCTTTTTGTGAAAATGTGATGAACCCTTTTTAAGTATTCAGAGGCATATTCTGTCACTTGAATTCATGTTTTTTTTTTTTTTTTTTTTAAGATTAAAATAATTTTTAGAAATGTTCCAATGATTCATCATTTTTTAGTTGAAACTGTTTTATTCCTCAGTCCTGTCAAATTGCTTAAAAATAAGTGTGGAAGTGGACTCAAATCACACTGTTTTTTCATTGTTGATGAATTTTACTTCTTATGTAAAAATAAAGCACTAAACTATGATATTACTGTAACCATTGATTTCTGATACATCAACCTTGTAAAGCTGAACTTTATGCCAGTTCCATGTTTGCAGTTAATAACTAAAAGCCTGCAGTAAATCTTAAACTGCTCAACTCTGAATGTTCTGTAGTCCCGTGTTTTAAGTCCAACACCACGGCAAATTAACGGATAACATTTGTTTCCCTCTTTGTCTCTCACACAAACATTTTATTAATACTTTCTGCTTGGTGAGAGGATCAAAGTAGCAGAGTAATGTCTGTTCTATATTCTCTGCTTGGATTTGCTTTTGGTGCTGCTGCATACCTGATCTTTGTCCTTGAACTTCTCCATGGGACCAAACTGCAGCAGACCCATGTAGACCAACTTTTGCAGGTTCTCATGAAACAAGAAGATGTATTTTCTAAAAAAAAGAAGAAGAAGAAGAAGAAGAAGAAGAAGTAGAAAAAAGGGACTTATAAATACTTAACTTCAAATTACAGTCATGATGTGTTACAGTGACAGACAGAAAGTCACCGTTTATAAAGCAGCTGTCGTTTCATTCTTGCAGGAAGCATTCTAACGAGATGGTGTTGCATCACAGGATCATTGAGATATTCCTCCAGTCCGTCCACCTGCCAACACAAGTCAGTCAATGTGCTGTTATGTTCTGCATGTCTTTGCTTGTATGCTGCAAGCTGTGCCATCAACAGTCTCATTAAAAAAAATAATTAAAAAGAGCCATATTGTTTATTAGGTCGAACTATTCAGCTACTGTTTTGTCCACCCCATTTATAATAATCATGGCTACATCCTATGATTTGTGGCTGTTTTGCTGCCTCTGGGCCTCGACTGCTCACCATCATCAAGGGAAATTAATTCCAAAGTCTATCAAGGTATTTTACAGGATCGTGTCAGGGTGATTGTTGGTTAGCTGAAGCACAGTAGAAGTTATGATGCAGCAGGACAGTGACCCTAAATATCAAAGTAACTGCTCCAGAATAACTTTAAACAGAGAAAATCTGTCTTTTGGAGGAGCTATAACACTTAATCCAACAAGGGAAGAGAGCCATTCCCACCAGACACCCAAAGAATGTGAAGATTAAAATTGCTTAAGCACATGTGTGTCTATACTTTTGACATCAAGAAGATCAGATCCCATTTTCTAAGTTAACATGGGGGTTAACATACTTTGTCATCACTGTATAAGTGCTGCTTTGTACATGACAACAGAATGATGTTACAGATAAAAACCTGAGGATCAAGCCACTGTAAGAGAAATAACCTTTTCACTGCACAACCTCCTTTTGAAGACGAAACAAACGTTTGTGCTCACCTGATAATTGACCTGTATGACCTGAACAAAGATGGAGAGAGGCAGAGAGAGGAGGAGGTCGCCCACCATCGCCCAGCCGCTGGTGTACTCTTTGTGTAGACGGACAGGAGGGACGAATCTCTTCCACGAGTCTTCATCAACATACACTGAAATGTAGACAAGTAAAGAAAACAGAGTTGCTTATTTGGGGGTAAAAAAATGGTTTCATAGCAAATAATTGTATGCAAAAACTACACACAAAAAAACAAAAAACAAAAGTTAAAATTGCAATGCAAGTTCACAGTTCCCACATACGAGGCTCCCTCACCTTTCATCTCAGACGGACCGGGAACTGATTTATCCTTGAGCTCCTCCCCTTCATCACCTGAGATCACATCTAAGTCATGAAGCCTGGAGTCTTTCGCCTGCTGTTTCACAGAGCTGCTGCCAGCACCGTCAGACGGCTGCGCTTGTCTGCCAGCAGTTAATGGATTTTCTGTTTTTTTCAGATGGCTCTCTGGGTCTTTGGCATCTGGATCACAACTGTTCTGGTCAGTTTGTGTTTGACCGTTTGAGTCAGAACAGGCGGGGCTGTGTCGGAGCGGATGCCCGTAGATCAGGTACCAGAGGTAGGTGTGAACAACGCGCAGACGATGCATCTTAGGTTGAAAGCCGAAAGTCTTACTCAAACCTCGAACTACAAAAGCAGACAGAGAGAACGAACAAAACAACGGACAACATTTAAGTTATTAAGCTAAATAGAGCAACCGAGCACCTCCTCATAGATCCAGAATTAAATGGGAACCAAATGAATCTATTGAGTGTTTTTAGGGTTGTACAGTATTTACCGCCTGATGTCACAGCATTGTTAGCTGCAGGTTGCACAGTTATAGGAAACTAAAAACGACTGAATATGTTCTCTCCTTAAGTATGTATTGATACTGGTATGATTGTATGACTTGGCTCTTCAAATACATGAAATAAATGTAGGTTGCAGTTACTTGTTATTCATTGTAATTAGTTTAGAACTCTTCAGAACAACAGCACACCTCAGATCAACCAGAATAATGCTTATGTTATATTATATTTGCTTATATTCTACAGTGATCTACAATCAAAACAGAACCTGTTGTGGGCTTGAATTCCGGGTCAGGCTTGGTCTTTGGTGCTTTTTGGAGCTCTCTGGCTCTCTCTTCATCATGTTGCAGACTGAGGGACAGAAACGGTAGAAAAAAGGTGACAGAAGGCAGGAGACAGTTGAACAGAGGCTTGGTCAAGAAACAAGATGTAATCATGTTCTACCCTTAAAACTAATTCTAAGTCAGGATTTGGTGTGTTTAAGTTTATTTAAGTCACAATAGTGTGACTGCGGGAAAGCAGCGAAAAACAGAATCTATCTTGCCACTTGATTAGGATAGTCACTGAGCTAACTTAGGCTATGTTCACATTACATGCTGAAGCCTATAAAATCCAGACATTCAGGTCCAGCTTTTTTTTTTTACTGGGTGTGAAAACAAATATGGAAATGTGCTATTTCATATCAGATCAGAGTCCATACAGTAGTTGTTCCTAGATCTCGGGTTATGACACTGCTGCCAGAACGGTCAGGTCGGTATTTGCATTTCTTTTAACATCTCACTTCTCTGTGCAAACTGCCTTTTGTCATCAATCAGTGTTAGCATTTTAAAGTCTGGTAAAGCTAAACATGGACGAGACAAATGACGGCGACAGAGGTCAACAAAGACATCAGTCAACAACAGTGTTGAAGTGCTTAATGTGAACAAAGCCATATACTGCTCAAGCATCATCTATTTTTCACAGAGTTATATTTAGGTATTTGGTTTGTGCTCACCGTATGGCTGTGTAAGAGCTGGAGATTTTAAACCGGACCTGCTCAATCACTTGTTTTACTGCGTCATCATTGGGTTGTATGGATGGATGGACGATCAAGTCAACCTACAGGGGCAAAAACATTCAACAGACAAGAGAGACAGAGAGAAGAAACTTGATACGTGATGTTGAATTTGAATTTGAATTTGAATTTGAATTTGAAATTGAATTTTCCTTCTGGGATAAATAAAGTATTTTTCATTTCATTTCATTCATTCATTCATGTCTGGGAGTAAATGAATGCATGAGTGAGTGAACACGTAGAGCTTTGACATAAAGTGTCATGGTGGACTAAACTTCTTCACACTTTGCACTAATTCAACGACTTGTTTCAAAAAATATAACACTTTGCATCATCACTTTAGCACCACTAGTTGCACACAGATTATAAATTATTTATCAGCAAAGGTTTCCACTACTGGGCAGTAACAGATGACAGAAATGCAAAAGCTCTTGTTCTTTTCTCTGTTGTCTCTGTACATTTATGAAAGGCAGCGGTAGAGTCAGGGTGTGACGTGAGCATCTACCTTCTTGCTGATGCCATCCTGTACGACGGTGGTCGTGTACATCTTAAGCAAGCCTTCTCTAGACAGACCGTGGATGAGACGTACAATAGTCTTCTTGCAACACTTTGAACTGACACCACTCTGCTTCTCTTCCTCGTTGATCATCTTCTGCAGCCTGTAAAAACACAGTCCGTCGAGATGTTTGTTCCCTGTCTTATTATCCCATAAAATGTCTTAAAATGAACCAATAACAATCAAGGCACACTGACGGGTGAAGACTCTCGATGATTTTGAAGTTACGAACGGCCTCAACAATCAGGTTCTTCCTCCTCAGCAGGCGGTACGTCTCGTGAGTACTCCTCGAAGACTTCTTGGATTTTTTTTGCTTGGAGGCCTGAAGGAGATGGATGTAGCCGTTACTTTCAGCACTCATTCAGACAGATTAGCTTCAACATCTTCTAGCCTGAGGGACAACGTCCACTGAAATCAGCCCATTAGACCCACCTGTGGCTGGCAAACACTTTTAATAATCACAGGGTTGTTGTTGGAGGGATCCTCAGCTGCATTTAGCTCCTCGCTCTGAAGCAAAGAGCTGGCATCAGTTGGGCTGGACTGATTCTCGTCCTCCGCTGACGCTTGGACTAAATAAAGAAAAAAACACAAACTAAATATAAAGCAGAGCAAAGATGAACACAGTTTATACACTATTCCATCACAAAACTCTGAAACTGATCACAGTATTAACCAAACCTGCAAAATGAGCCATAACAAGGGAAATACAGGTCACCTGTCCAAGTGAAATGAGAGCTCCAAGTACAAGTGAGGATGAATTCATAATTAAATGTTGGTAAACAGCATTATCTGTTCAGGTAAGAGATGTATGTGAGAGAGAGAGAGAAAGAGAGAGCAGTAGTAGGAGTCAAGGGAGTTTGAGTGAATGGTGAGGTGGGGCAGCATTTGCGATAAGAACAAAGCAGTGAATGAGAGAAAGAAAAGGTTATTTTCTAATTGTTTCACACTGATTACATCATACAGCACAAATACACATGCCCACACCTCCGCACAAGCCTGCAGAAAGGCTGGTATTGACTGCTGCTACACCCCTCTGCCAAAAGGTTGCAGACAAGAGTGTCCCAAAGACAGCACAAAAAATAACAATACAATAAGTAACTACAGGAAGAGGGCAGGGTCCTCGCAGCTAAATGAGTCTGTACATTGTTTATAAAGAAAAATATTCTACCTTTAGTTATATATTTCTGAGCCGATATGTCAAACATACCTATGATTAATGCTTTAATATTGACAATATAAAAACATATTGAGGATATCCAAAATCTCGTTGAGGTTAATTGGTGATTCTAAATTGTCCGTAGGTGTGAATGTGAGTGTGCTTGGTTGTCTGTCTCTAAGTGTAGCCCTGTGATAGAATATCTACTTAAAAACGATTGTGTCAGACAATGTTGTGATCGTGTGTTCTATCCAGTGCGGACAAGAATAATAATTGTAGGTTTACTATTTACTGCTTTCCAGGAGCACTGTTTAAACTGAGGGATTAATGACGAAAAAGAAACTGGAATTATCACTTTTCCTTTAACATTTGAGCATTTCTGCGGTGTAGCAAAAGTGTAGCGGTGCGAGCCCATGACTGGGAATTACCTGCTGCAGGAATGGACTCCGACTTGGGTGTCACACTGATGACGGATTCGCTGCAGGGCAGAGTTTCACCTGAATGATGACAGAAATTTAGGAAGACAACAAACAAAGAGCTGTAACTGCCTGTCAGGTCAAGACTTTATCACAGATCAAAGGTTATGATGTGGATTTTGTCTTGAAAAACTCCTTTATATAAAATGTGGAAAGGTCTGATGAGTACTCACATTCAGCCGGTGTAGGGTCCCCGATGGAAATGTCAGTTTGTGTCTGTTGTGTTGCCACACTGTCCTTTCCACCTGCTGTCTTTCTTCTGGCTGCTGACTTTCCTTTAGCTTTACCTCCCTTTCTGTCCAACCCTTCACCCCCTGCATCCCCTTTTCTATCATCATTCATCTGCTCGGCCTCCTCTGCAGCTTTGGTGCCTCCTCCACCTGCTTTCTTAGTCTTCTTGGCTGCAGGAGTTTTGGTGTTTCCTTTTGCGATTGGCTTTGAGGTTAATGGTGTTATAGGGGAGGTCGGGTCGGTATTTGACGATTGTGGTGCAGAAGAGTAGAGCTGCTTCGTCCGTTCCTGCTCTTTGGCAAACAGTTGGAGTTGATCACTGACACCCACAAATCTGTCAAGAGAGCAAAACAATATTTGGTACAATGTGATTTTATATGATGTGGTCCTAAAGTAAAAAAAAAAAAAAAAAAAGAAATGTATAGTTATTTATAGATACGCACTTATGGCTGATAAATTTTGTAGTCCTCTGCCGACCCTCATCCTCCAGGAAGCCCTACAAGATGAAAGACACGACACAAGACAAAATGACAAACAGAAATTCCTTAACAATGTAATTCAACTTCAAATGCAATATTTGGGTTATATTGAAGGGCGTCTGCTTTATTTGGTCCACCAGCAGGCACAATGTTTAACATATTTACCATCTTAACTCAGCATGCTGCTATGCTAATATGTGCTACATAACATTTAACGTGAAGTACAGCTGGCACTGACGGAAATGGATCACAACTTTTGCAGGTCTTAAACTTAATTACTAGACAGAACAAGATCAGATAATGGCAGGTAAATGGCAGGAAATTATTGTCTACCAAGTTTTCTGGCAGTTCATTCAATACTTGTTGAGTCATTTCACACAAAAAGCATGACTGTAAAGCTCATGATAGTAGAAGGAAGCAAAGTCAGAGGATCACAAGGATCGTCACCATTCATCTCAAGCACCATGGAAATTTTGCGTCAATCAATCAAGCAGATATTTCACAGACTAGAGGACAATTAAGACCTGCTGGTGCATCATGTGTCTACTTTCCTGAACACTGTACTCGTCCAAGGACAGAACTCCTGGTCGTTCAGCACTTTAAAATATTAGGACTAAAATGCTACTGTTGCATGTCTGTAGCTTATAGGTCAATAAAAAACACAAGTTACAAATGCAACCAAAGGCTATTTTACACATAAACAAATCTGCCAGTCTCCAATCTGGCACCAAACAAACTTTCAAAATTTTGTGAGATTGCCAACAGATCTGAAATGAGTCACTGTATTTCAAACAGGAAGGATTTTCTTTGTGGTGGTTGACCTCTGGTGGAGGTCATGTAGATGAGAAGCCCAAACATACAGCATCCGACAACTGAGAGTGTGCGTGTTCGATCTCTCTGCCTAGCTATAAGCCATTTCAGTAGACTTCACAGCTTTTGAAAGCAGTACAAGAAGAAAAGGGTCATTTTCAGAAGGGAAGAATTTACCTTACCTTAATCAAACCATCCTTCTCCAACTTTCGGCAGAGCATTCGAGCTTCCAGTTTACCGATGTTCATTCTAAACACGATGTCGCGCTGGGGGATTCCCTTCGTGCCAGAGGACAAAACTGCATCAGAAAGAAAAAGACAAAACGCCACAGTTTACGCAACTGTGTTTGTTTGTTGGCTCTGTCTTCCTCCAATTTGGATTTTGAAGGTAAAGTGCAGACTGAATTGAATTCCAGATTTTTAGAAACCAGATGTGCAACATTACTAGCTTCTACTGTCGAAGTGGTAGCTTTTGGTCAGACGTGAAATTGACATGTTCGGTAAAACTGTCAGTGCAGTTTCGTGACAAGATACGTGTTTGTTTACAGAAAGGGATACAAGTCCTTTGCTGTTTACCCAATACAGATGTAAATATCCTCAAAAATACTCAAGGCTTAAAATAAAAAAAATATGACAGTGTTCTGGAGCACAGAGTGAAAACATTACAAAATGTGCCACTGTCCAAAACAACACAAAGCCTTCTCCAATCAATCAGCTTCTTCATAGAAGTGACCAAACATACTGAGGTGGTAGGCCTGCGACATGATGTCCCTCTCCATGATTCGCCCCTCTGAAGGGAAAGCTCTTGTTCTTCCTCCAGCGTCATCTTCTTCATCTTCATCGTCATCTTCCTCATCATCTGGGATGCCCTTCTTTGTGTAAGGCTTTATCAGCCTCACACAGCGCACCAGCACTTTACTGCCTAGAAAACCAGTCAGATAAAGCAGTGCATGTGTTACGTCTTAACACCACATTCATTCTGTAAATTCACTCATACTGACAGGTGACTTCACAAACTTCTTTTCATCATATTTTTTTAGTGCACTACACCTGCAACAGGCTCAGTCGAAATACATCATCACACTGAAAAACTGACATGTTTTATGAATCACATTAGTTCTTAAAGGATTTACTGATCTATCACTCAGGCCAAGTGATGTCTATTTGCGACTTCTCATCACAGTCAGCATTTATATTTACAGCGTAACATGAGAGCGATAGTTTCTTCTCCAACGGTTGTTTCTGATTCCTTATATTTTAGGGATTTGACCCAACTCCAGTATTGGTGTGAGATGAGCAACTAAAGCTGAAATAAATACATTTAAATCTTTAAGCTTTAACAGAACAGAAGCAGCAACTCAGTTATATAAACACAAAAGTGTATTTCCAGTGTGGGCTGTTAAATAAGATGCTGCTAACCAAGACAGTTACTAATAAACAGCAGAAACCTCTCAACATTAGAATAAAGCTTATATGTACAGGTGCTGTAATGGCACGTTACCATTTTTGTTGGTGCAGGGTCCAGCGCCGGGATCCAAGTCCTCCAAAGGATACTGGCAGAACTCGATCAACCGAGCAGCTCGCATGTACTTAAACACACGCTTGAAAGTACCTTCGTTGACATTCTGCAAGAAAAGAGCACAATCAGAGAGACGAAACCAAAACAGACCAGCAGACACTCAAAGACAGATACTCACAAGTTGTGCTTTGAACATCATCATCGTAGCGAACTGACCCGGGGACTGCTGGAGACAGTTGGATATGTACTCCATCAGTACTTCATACATGGTCTTCCTACAACAGAAGAAGATGTGGAGAGGAATTTGTCCAAGAGAGAGACAAAGAGAGGAGTGGGAAATGTTTTTAATTTTTAGGACTGTCATCCATGGATATATTGTCTCTCTGCCTCTGTCTCCATCCTCTATGTCACGTTTTCTGTTTGATGTAGCTCCTCATCTGTGCACTTCAGTTTGAATAAATACTAGCAATCAACAAACTAAAATGACTTGCAATTGTCTTCATAATTGCTAAAGCTCTTTGCCAAGATGTACGCTGCTTTGTCCGACTGGAGGTTTAAGGTGCAAAGCTACCACAGCCCACAGATCCGTAATATCCAGATTATGGGGAATTATGCCAGGTTAAAAAAAAAAAAAAACATTTACAGTGTGATATCCAGCCCTAAACTTCACATAACACAAATTACAGAAATTACAGTAAAAGCACATTTAGTTATAATGTACCTCCTGCACTGTCAATATGTGTTCAGTAAACAGCGACAGTAAGCAGAAACACTAGTGTTGACAGTGAGGGGAAAAAAACCCATAGATGACAAACAGACCTGTTTACATGGAAGCGTTTGAGCAGCAGAAGAATGGAGTGCTGCTGTTGTCCGGACTCCAGTCGTCTGAGGTGAGGCTGCATGGTGACCAGCTGATGTCTGACGAGAGACTTCCTCAAGTAGTGAAACTTTCGAGCATCTACCCTGCTCAAACACAACACCGGCTGTTACACTGTGAACGTCTGACAGAGTGAACACACACCAACAGTGCCAAATGAGCGTGTTCATGTCTCCTACTTGAAAGAGCCTCCATGCAGATCCCTTTGCAGCTCTCCTTGCCACCGGGCTCGGCCCACTCTTTCCAACACGCAGTAAGAGTCATCGGTGAGAACCAAATCAGGATCGCTCTCACTTCCAATCAGAGCCCGAAATCGCAAAGTCTGAGACGCCACTACGACAAGCTTTCGCCCGTATCTGAGAAGGTCAGAAACAAGAGTGAGAGTGTGAAGTATGAGGAATACAATGATGCACTAACATGAGATTTAGATGTTTAGATTATGTTGTTAGATATTACCCAGTTTGCTAAAATATATTTACCATTCCTCACTTTCAAGCAGATTACTAACAACGTAATATTTGCATAAGTTAAACAATACACCAAGTTTAAGCATTACATGTTGTCAAATCACTGCCTATGTGCCCAGTCCATTTTTGCATCATATTTGGTCATGAAGTTGCCGACCCTGCGGCAGTGTGTTGTTTGCAAACAGTCGCTTCTCTGTTGAATAAATTAATTATTTAACACTCTCTACAAACCTTTCCAAAGCCTCCTCCAAGTTGACCAACAGTGTGAGAGACTTGGAGCGGACGTGCTTTGTGATGTCCGTCCTCTCTTTAAAGTGGGCGCACGAGCCTTGAACCCCATCTTTGTTTTCTGGAACAGCGTGGACGGGGTAGATGTCTTTGCGGGTTTCCGAAGTCTTCTGTGCTACGTCATTGCTTTTCTCCGCGTCAACGTCCTGAAACCTGAAATCACAAAATCTGAGTAGAGCGCAACCGAGAGGCACATGCAAAATATCCCACAAAGTAGGATGACTTTTACAACTTTCTTTAAATTGAGGAGGGATCTTCAAGAAAGAAAGAAAAAAGTTTCACTTAGTTTAGAGACCCAGAAAGTCTCCCGTGACTTTGGAGCTGAAAACAATCAAAAAACAAAATATCTGAAAAACATTTTAGACCCTTGCAAAGGGGATTTATTTCCATTCGAGAGGCCCAGCATTGGTGTTGGGAAATAGAAATATGCCCAGAGAAAGAGTGCATAAACTTCTGATCAAAAACAGTTCAGCTAAAAAAAGGTGTTGTTGAAGAAAACAGAAACCGCTTGTAGTTTTTTTTTTCTCATGCCATTCATATGAGTTAACATGACATCTGTTGTTATAATTAAACAAGCATGAAAGGTATTTTTTAAGCAAAAACACAATATATAAAAAGAAATCATGCTGCAATTAAATTAACAAATACTGTGATTGCAATAGATCACAGTTTTAGCAGTTATTGTTTGTATTACTTTTAAAATAAATCAGAAATAGTCTGTACTAAACAAGCCCTTTCCCTTACATCTAAAAAATATGTTTTGCAGGCAGGAGCATCTCTGCAGCACCACAGTACTACATTGAATGTAGCTGGTAGTGACATTTATTGGGATGAATTGTTCAGCCCTTGTTTCCAGCCTCTAAAATGTAAGACTTCTGTGCGTTTGTTTGACGTCCACGACCATTAACTAATTATCTTTAGATTTTGGACTGTTTATGAGACAAAACAAGTGGATCAATAGAGTTGCAGCCCCACACAGCTAAAAAACAAACAAATAAAACTGACCACTATGAACTTTATAGAGGGTTTACAGCATTGTTGTGGTTGCATCACACTACATGAGTTCAGCTCCACTACAAATGTTCACAGTTGTTGTATGCATCATATTGACTAACCAAACCGATTTCCCTTCTCTCTTGTTGCGTTATTATTTTTTAACTTGATTTGACCTGAGCCCTTTATGCCACCATAAGGATGATAAAGTCACCTGTCAAACAGCACAACATCCTCTCTCTCCTTTGGGAGCTGGTAGAACTTCAGGTCGCTGTTGCTGGCCAGAGACTTCCATATGAGCTCCTTGGTGCAGTCGTCGAGCTTGAGGGGAAACTTGGGCTCTGTATTTTGTAGCCGAATCCAGAGAGTGGGGATGGTTATCCCATCCAGTCCCTCCAAAGCCACTTCGTCTTCAACTATACTCCACGGATCCATAGCATGCTACGCACCGGGCTAACAGCTAACATGCTAGCTTACTCACAGCCAGCTGGAAGCCTCTGTTGCCTTTTAAAGCTCATACATTTATCGGGTATTAAAGACGGAATATTCGGCTCCTGGAGTGCTTTCAAGTCATATATAAGTGTTAATGACTGACGAAATTAAGAAAAACTTGTTTACAAAGTGTTACTCCTGCTCCGTCTACCGACAAATTTGGTGCGTACGTGCTTACGTCATATTTAAACTTTGACCTTACGTTGTGCGTCTGCTCGTAAAATCCACAAGGTGGCGTCCGAGTACAGTTTCTGAGTTCACGGAGGCGTTAAGATTTTTTAATTGTTTTGAACATTAACAGAAACTGTTTTTGTCACACACCATACTTTTGCTAAAAAAAACAAAAAAAAAAACATATATATATTTTACAATAAAATTACTTCTAAACTGTAAATTACTCAGTAAGTGCAAGCAATTTTGTTGTATTTACCACTGTCTATATTATATCATTACACAATAAACAAGTGTTGTAAATGTCTTACCTGGGGCTATATAATCATCATCATTTATTCACATTTTAATAAACTTTTTTCCCCCCAAGAAATGACCCAGTTGCTGAGCAGTAACACTGCTATTACCCTGTTATAACAATATTTTATGACGTAACTACTACAGAATGACTGGCTATTAAATTTAACAGTTACTTCTTTTCTTAAAACTACACAAAACTGGATGATTACTCAGGAATAAGTGACATACCAGTCAAGCAGGACAGTTTATTTCTTTAAGATAGCAGTCTGACCACAACAAACAAGTAAACAAAACAAGTCGAGGTTCACTCACTGTTGGTTCCTGATGGTCTTCAGTGTATTTGCACGGTTGTTGGGAAGACGTATCTGCTGGCATGACGGAGATGGCACGGCCATCCAGAGCTAACTACTGGTGAGGACTGCATGTTACTGGGGGAACCTTTGGGAAAATTAAACAGATGATGACTTGGAATTGTTTTGGTCTTGAACTTCCACTGCATCGGCTATTTTTACTGTAAAGAACTCAGAAACACAGTAAAACATATTTTATATTGTGTGTTAGCTGTGAGGAGACAATCATCCCCTGCAGCTCCGAGGGAGGTCAATTCTGTATGTATTTGCAGGTAAATACTTTATTGAAAAAATAATCTACATCTACTGGGGCCACATTCTACAGAGTCTAGGAGCAAAAAGTACTACTTTTGCTCTTGCACTGATCTAATAATGTTTGATGGTTACACAAAAGACTGATTTATTTTAAAAAGGAAGCCACTCAACCCCCAGACTGACTCTGAACTAAGACACGTGTTTCCATGGTAACACTCCCTCACACCTGTTAAAAAAGGGGAAAATGTGGCTCCTAGTTTGTGGATAACATTGAGAAGAGAGCAACGAGAAGATGAAGATTTATTTTTTTTAAAATTTGCGGCTGCAGTGACCTGTTAAAAATTGACAGTATTGTTTTTCCAAGTGATTTTATTTTATTTTTACTGTTACATTCTTTCCTGGATTTGATCAGCGAAACATATTTAAAACTGTTGGATTGTACAAGAAGGGATGTATTTCTGCTGGAGTGAAGGGACCACAGTGCCTTCATGCAGTTATTTTGCAGCCCTGCATTTAAATGACTTTCAGGTTCACGTCTACAAGCAGGTCCTTTCTGACCAGTGATGGAACAAGTATTGATATTTTAAATGTGAAGGAAGCAAATCCTTTATATAGATACGTCTCATTAAAAATAAAGACCCTGCTGTAAAAGTACCTACTGTGCAGAATTCCTACATTCGCTCTCTAAGATAATACTAGTTTATTATTATTGATGCATTAACATGTATGCAGCATTTTACTTTTGTCGTTTTGAAGCATATTTTACAATACTTTGGGCTGCTCGGAAGATTTGAATCTGCAAAGTAACCATCAACGATAGCTGTGTCATAAATGTAGTGACGTAAAAAGTTCAGTATTTCACTCTAAATTACAGAGTAGAGGTAGCAGAAAATATATATTGGTACATGAGCCTTGAACCTGTACTCCACCACTTCTCCTGATAGCTAAAAGAGCATTTATAGATGATGAAGAAAATGCGTTTTCGACACGTCTCTGGAAGAAGAGAACATGTATAAATACATGCCGGCTCACTGTCACAGCTTAAATATAAATGCAGTCATCATTAATGTTTTTAGCGACACCAGTCAAAGTCAAAACATCTGCTGTTGTCTCGCACAGTGTTGTGTGTTTGGCCTGAACAACAAAGGAGAGGAAAGGTTTATTCAACATCTTTATTATGAAGTACCTTTTTAAAAGAAATGTACAAGTGGAACCAGCACAGTGACATCTTGGCGTTGAAAAACAGAAACACCATGGACATGTGGTGCAGGTCTGAAGACACGTATGAAATGATAATGTACATATTTACAGCAGAAGGTTGATCAGAACAGAAGTGAGGAAAAAAAAAAAAAAAAGAGCATCGACTGCAGCTAAAAAATACAACGGGACTGACTGAAATAAAAACTTACATTAAAAGCATGGATTGGTTCAATAAACATATTTTAAAAGATAACATGATAAAGGCACTGTGTTTCACACAAATCAACAACGCAACAGATGCAGTTGTTTGTTTTGTCCATCAAATCATAATCACAAGAAACAACTCTTAATAAATGTTGTCATTCAACTGTCCCTGGGTGTTCTTTCTAACAAAACAGACACAATATATCAGAGGGCCGTCGCAGTTTGCACATAAACATTAAAACAAAATAGATAAATCAACTCATCCGGAAAACATTCCTTATAAAGAACATGCTCGGTGATTATTAAAATTACATTTTATTTTTTATTTTTTATAAACAAATACATATCTAAATTTTAAAATTTCATATTGAAGGCATAATGGGTTGGAGTAAGGACAAATATGTTTTCTGATCCTATGCTTCCCTTGCTGGGCCGAACCCAGGACAAATTGTATTTGACATTCCTGCAAAACCTCTTTGTCTGATGAACACATTCATTGAACTACCAGCATAGATGACACGAAACACTCGATCAGGCCGACAGTTGGAGATCAATACTGAAGACAGACTCAGACATGGTATGGTATGATCACTGATGCAGTTCCTTTGAGGATAAGAGTGGGCAAAACTAAGAAAACATACAAGTACATTCAGCTTACATAGCTGGTGTATCATCAGTGCACTGTCTGCACTGTGCTTTATGATATTCTGGCCTCAAGGCTTTACTGCAGTTTGGTACTGACACAAGCAATTTAAAGGAGTAGTTTGACGTTTTGGAAAATGTTTTGTTTGCTTGAAAAATCTGCACAATAAATATGAAACCACAGCCAGCAGCTGGTTAGCTTACTTTAGACTAAAGACTGGAAACAGTGGCTCTGTTCAAAATGTGCCTACACTGCACTGTTTAAGTTTTGTGATTAACATGTTTTATCGAGAGCTTGAGTTACAATCACTTCTTAAGCAGAACATTCTCTAGCTTCAGCTTCTAAATTGTGAGCATTTGTTGCTTATTCTTATCTGCTATGATACATGTACACGTTCTTCAATCACTGAGTGGACGGTGCGATGAAGCCGCCCTGCACTCCCTCACAACAACTCTCACCGACAGCTTCTCCCCCCACTGCACTGTTTCTGCCTGCAGTCTTGACGCCTACTTGCTTTGCTTCAGCAACGCAGGGGAATATAAAGACACAAAACACACAAACTCGCTTTTATTCCTTGGGCTCTTAGATTATTTTATAAATAAACTTCTTATTTTAGGATGTCAGGATTCACCGTCATAGAGCTGTGTTTTCATGCTGCTCCACCAAGCCTTGTTAAACATTAATGACCGAAACCTGAACCTTAAACCAAATACCTTTAGGTTCGAGGTCGCCTGTCAGACAAAACAAGCAATTTTAAAACGCCACTTCAGAAAATTGTGATGTGCTAACATTTCTTTCAGGTAATATGTAATAAGCCAATATGAATAATAAAAAGCAAATCCAAAATATAGATCTGACCTTTAGCTGCAACCCTGGTTTGTTTAAGCCATACAAAAGTCAGGCTCGCTGTTTCCCTTTTTCTATTTTTACAGTAAACTAACAGCTGCTGCCTTTAGCTTCATATTTCATATGCGAGTTCTCCATTTTCTCATCTAACTCTTGGCAAGAAATTTTTTTACCAAATTGCCACACTATCTATGTAAGATAGACTGTAGGTTTTAAACTCAATGTTACGATGTTTGAGGTCTGGAAATCTGCAGGAGGAACGAGAGATTCCCTTCAGCTCGTGATGAAATTAAAAAAAAAACATTTGATACTTGTGGACACACGCATGTAGGCATACGGTACACACTATATGCTCTTTGGCTGAGTTCAGGCATACACGACGGACACAGGCTTACACACTCAACAACACGCTTCTGAATAACAAATCTAGATATTAATGGCACTGGCCAGGCAGGCAGGCACCTAGACTGAGCTCGGGGTTACGGTACACAGGCTTCTGATATAGCGGAAAAGTTCTGAGTTACACGAGGGGGAACAGTGTGAGAAAAATATACTGTGGTCTTTTTCATGAGAAGTTCTACAGGTGGAAATAAAAGTTATCCTATGTTTAAAATCCATCTTGTAGGAGAACAGAGCCGCACACTTACAAGGTAAACAGTACAGAATTGAGGTGCAGTGATGTGGTATAGTGGAAAGAAACAAAACAAAATGGCTGCCCTGAAATGACTAATGAACTAGCTTCAAAACATACACAATAATACAACATTAAGATGAGATATGACAAAATTAGGCTGCAATAATAAGTAATAGTACCTGCCTTGTACATACACAATTCAAAAAAAAAAAAAAAAATGAAAACAAGTAGCTAGGATACTTGTCTTATCAAAAATATGTAGCTTTGGTAAACAAGTTATGCAGAGAACTGTTGTCTGAACATGTTGATGTGAGAGATCACTACATGACATCTAGGAATCAAGGGTGAGCAAGTTTCTCTGTTTTGAGGCTATGAAGTCAACGAGAGGAGAAGCAGGCAAAAGTTCCACTCCCCGTAATCCTCTGTCCTCTCCTCTTGTTGCCAGCTGATGAGGAACAGAGGCAGCAAAAGGCAGCTGGACTCCCGAAAGGAACAGAACTGCTTTCTTTACTGCCCCGAGCACCGATTGAATAGTCTCTGTGGTAATGTAGCAGCATCGTAATGGTCTGCGG